AAATCAGGTATAAAGTACATTATAAAAAAAATCAATTTAGCAATTCTATGATTCTTATAGATTTAACATATTAAATTATATATATAAAGACTAATATTCTAACTATAGACAGTCAGATAATTTTATTAGACATTTAAAATGACAAAAACAGATAACCGAATCACGAGACTTAATTTTAATTCTTATTATTTTAATCAAAAACAATTTGATTTTTTAATTAAAAACTTTTTTAATAACTCTAAAACTTGTCCTTTCAGAGAATTTGTTTACCAATATGAGAAAAATTATGAAGCAATACAAGAACGTGATTGTCATATTCAAGCATTTTTCATTTTAGTAAATCAAGCAAGACTTCCTAGTATCTATGAAAAATTACAAACTAACAATGCGCTTCAGAAATGGCATTATGATCCAGTTTGAAGTGAAAAAGATTCAAGAGAATATTCTGAAAAAGATTACAATAAATGTAAAAAACATCATCGCAAACCTGTTGAGAGAAATGATCCAAGATGCAAAATCAAAGGAGCTGTTTTAGAAATAGTAGATAATAATAATTCAGAAAAAAAGATTCTTGTAACTTTATGTAGATGCTCTTATAAAAATTTAAATGATCTTGCAAACTGTGTTTAGTGTACACATGAATGTTGTTCTCAACATACTTTTGCGAGATATGATTCTGAATCTGGACCATTTCATTATATACTAGAAATTTATAAAAAAAAACCAAACAACCCTAATGGAATTAATCAATATATTAAAGAAAATTCATCTGAAAAAATAATAGACAATTTATTTATTGAAAACAAATCTGGTGATGAGATTATTGTAGAAAATGCACAAGATAATCCAAAATGGGTAGAAAATAACCCAAATCATATTTATACTTTATGTCAAGCTATAAAAAATATTTAAAAAAAGAAAAACAAATGATGTTAGAAACCCTCAACAATATTTTTTTATAGTGACGAGAGTCGAGTTGAAAAAGGTTATTTATTTTCATTACTTTTTCCAAATGCATATGAACGTAGAAGCACAGATGGAAGATTTTGGCAAGATTTTAATAGTTCATATGAAGAAGTTTTAATTAACGAATTTAAAGGCCAGATTAAATATTTAGAACTTTTAAATCTTCTTGATCCAAAAGAATACAGTGTTCAAATAAAAGATGGAAGTGAGAATTTTTGCCCTAAAGTAATTGGATTTTCTGCAAACACAAATGTTAGATTTATTTATGATTTTTGTGAAGATAAAGAATTAAAACCTATATCAGAACAGAAATCTAATAATACAAAATTATTTAGTTCATTTGTTAATCGATTAGATTATATTGTAGAATTTAAGAAATTTAGAGATGATAATGAAAAACCTTGTAGAGAAAAATGTTCTTGTTGTAAAATTCGAATGATTTTTCACCGTGGATTACCTGAAGATTTTTTTAATTTCAAGTTTAAAATTGAATTTAATTATGATATTACAGAAGAAAAAGCAAGAAAAATATTAGAAAAAAAGTATGGTAGATTTGAAGAATTAGATAGTATTTATTATTGGAAAAAATATTATATGATTGACAAAAACAAATATATTATTGGGCCAATTGAACCGTATTATCCAAAAATTTACAGTACTGAAAGAATATATCAAGATACGAATGAATATAAAGCAATCAAAAAGAAAAATTTAAAAGAAAATCCTCTAGAATATAGGAATGGAATTCCTTCTGTTGAAATTTCATTTCCGATAATATTACAAAAATTAAACAATAAAAAAACAAAAAAAGAAAGAAACCTTATATTTGAACGTCTACCAAATCAAAATCAAAAGACCAATATTTCAACAGACCCTCAAGAATTAAGTAAAAGAAAGCTATCAATCAATGAATTAAATTATGATCCTCAAGAAGAATCAAGTAAAAGAAAACTATCAATCAATGAATTAAATTATGATTCTGATTTACATTCAGATGATTCAGATTATACTTGTAAAAGAAAAAAAGCAAACATATAGAACAAAAACAAATTGAACAAGAAAATAATAATTTTGATCAAGAACAAATTGAAATTCATCAAGATATTATTAATCAACAACAATTAAAAATTCTGTAAAATTATCAAGAATTAACTGATCAAAGAAAATTTGACAATATAGAAGATGATGATTTTAATTATAATGAAGATTATGAATTAGATATAGCAGATGAAACAAGAGATGAAAAATTCAAAAGAACAAACAAAAATAATCATTTTTATTCAGGATTATTACGAGGACTTCAAAAATTATAAATTGTTTTTATTATATATTATTTTTTTTGATATTAAAAATATTTTATAAATAGCAAACAAATAAATTTTTTATTATTAATAAAAATGTCAATTCCTAAAATAAATATAATTCAAGAAATATTATTTAATGAAAAAAGTGTATTGAATTTCTATTAGAAAACCAACTTATTAATAATCAACCAAATAGTTGTTTAAAATGTAATAATACAAAATTTTACTGTCGATATAATTTATAGATTTGTAAAAACATAAATTGCAACAAAACAATCTCAATATATCATAATTCATTCTTTAGTAAAAGATATCTAAAAAGCAACCAGATCTTATTACTTGGTTATTTTTGGATCTCAAAGGCACGATATATAACACTTAGACATTTGATGGGATTGTCACCAAAATCAATCAAAAAATATACAAAAATATTTTGTAATTTAATAATAAACACATTAACAACTAATGATAGTCAGCTAGGTGGTCTAAGCAAAATTATAGAAATCGATGAATCTAAATTTAAAAAAGATATTTCATGGTGAGTAGTTGGATTAACTGAACAAAAATCTAATAAATATTATTTTGAAGTTGTAAAAGACAGAAATACAAATACTCTTACAAGAATTATAAGAAAACATGTTATTCCAGGTTTAACAATTTATTCAGATTCGTGGAAAAGATATCAAAGATTAGATAAATTTGGTTATAGACATTTTAGAGTAAATCATTCACGACAACTAACACGAAAACAAAGATTAAGAAAAATTCATAGCAATACTATAGAAGGTAAATAAAAATTTTAATTTTATTAATTTAAATATAAAATAAATTAATAAACTATTAATAAATTAGGTATATGGAATGGAATAAAATTAAATATTTTAATATAAAATAGAAATTTTAATACAATTACTCCGTATCTTCAGGAATTTGTATGGCACCGAAAAAACAAAAACAAATTGTGGCATGCATTTTTAGAAGCAATCAAATCTTATAAAAATAATTCTTAAAATATATAAATATTCAATAAATTATCTAATTTTTTCTAAAAATCACTTAAAAATATTATCAAATTCAAAAAAACAAAATTGTACTCCCAAAACACATTGTTTTAATTATAGAAAAATGCAAATTAAATGTTTACTTTCAATCAAAGATCCAGAAATTTGTAAAAGATGTTATAAAAAAAATCTTGATTGCATTTTTGTTAAGCCTGCTAAATATATTGAAGAGATAAAAAACTTAAAATCTGTTGTTAAAGAATATGAAACACGAATTTCATCATTAGAAAAAAGAGTTTTTCTTTTAGAACGAAATGAAAAATTAGTTAAACAAAATATTGTACAACTCTATACAATTTTTGAAAACAATTAATATTTATTAGTATTTTTTTTTTATTTTACAATAATATTTTTTTAATATGTTTTTATCAAAGTTTTAAAAATCATTAATTTATCAATAAAACAGTATTTTAACTTTTGTTTTTCTTATTTTTAATATAAATATTTTGATTTATTTTTTTTTAAAAAAAATATATATAGGTCATATAACATAAAAGAATAACTTCTAAACAAAAATGAATCAACAGCCTAAAATAATGGATAGAGAAGTTTTAGTAGCAGAAAATTCTAGATTACAAACAAAAAATTTTGAATTGCTTCATAGGATTAATGCTTTGAATACTGATAAAGATGAGTTGATTCGTGAAAATACACGTCTAAGAAACAGAAATGATGAGCTTACAAATGAAAAGAATCAACTTGAAGCAGATAATATTCAGATTCGTGAAGCAAATGAAAATCTGACACAATTAAATACTGCATTAAGAACTGTTTTAAGAGATGCTGAAGATGAACGAGATCATTACAAAGCAGGAAATTTGGAAGAATTTAATAATTTTATTTCGAATTTTGTATTTGGATTGTTTAATGATTTTATGTGGATTACAAATAATCAATACGTGACTAGTTTCATAGAATTTTTAAATTTTTTTAATTTTTTTCAAATACCAATTGTGTTTTATTATATTAAGATAATTTATAGAAAGTTTCTGTGGCCTATTTTTGTAGTTCCTTACGTAAATTTGACAGAAATGAAAAGAATTCGTGTTGTCAAAGTTTTATTTGTTAATATTATTACTGTTTATTTTGGACTATAGTTAATTTTCTTTATATTTGCAAAATTGGATAGAAATATTGTTATTTTGGATTATGGCTACAAAATTGAATAGAAATATTGTTATAATTTTTATTTAAAATAAAATTATTAAAGGTATTTGTTTCCAAATCTTATTAGTTTTGTTCTGCAAAACATATTCGCAAAAAGTATTCGAATTCAATAATGATGATTGGTCAGAAATCAAAGTATCCAAACTCCTGCAAAAAGTATTCTGCATTTTTGCAAAAGGTATTCGAATATAGTTTAAATTTAGAGTAGAATTTTATATTGTGATATATTGCTACTCTAATTTTTAAATTAGATTTTTATATATGCATATATTTATTACTCTAATTTTAGAGTAGAATTTATATTGTATATATATTTATTACTCTAATAGAATTTATATTATATATTTATTACTCTAATTTTAAATTAAATTTATTTTTAACAATGAAAAGAATAAACTCACATCCATAAAAAAAAGTTTTTCCGTTAATAATTCTATGAAAAGAAATTCTTAAATTGTGTTGTCTATTTTTTATTGCTAATTGTAAATCACCATATTTTTTCAAATTCTTTCTTAGTAAGATAAGTACATTATAAAAAGATTTTTCGTAAAAATTTAAATTCTAAATTCTACGTTACTAATTCCATGAAAGGAAATTCTTTATTTGTAAAAGGATTTTTTGTAAGAATTTAAATTCTAAATTCTAATTGTTTACTGATAAGAATTTTATGATAAGGGTTATTAATTCTAAATTCTCACACCAGTTATTTTAAGCTTATTTTTTTTTATATATATTGAGGTTTTTTTTGATCATAAATGTCTAAAGAACGTAAAATTTTTTTTAAACTTGAAAATTCATAAACAATTAAATGAAAAACAATATTTGTTTATGTTGTATAACTGGTTAGATTTTTAAATACATAATTCTGAAATACCTGATAAAAAGGTGAGTTATATTCACTTAATAATCATATTTGTGCACGCTGCTCTTCAGGCATTAGGAATTTATTCTGGGAAGAGAATTTTTTTTTGAAATTTTCTCAAGGATAAATTTCATTTTTGCTAGGAACGCGAACGTGTAGACGCCGCAACCCATGGAGTGAAAATTATGTTTTATTAATTTTTTTATTTTATTTTAGATATCGGGCAAAAGGTCATACTTTTGAAAAATATATTTTTTTATTCGATAAACTCATTTACAATTTATAATTTATTCAGTTTATAACCGAATAAAATTTTAATTACGTGAAAAAAAAATAGAATATTTTTACATATATGATGCTTCTGATGAATACGCGTTTTATAATAGATATTATCAATTTCATTTGTATATAGTTCATTCGGATAGACAAAAATTTACAATAAACATAAAAATCGAAGAAGTATTTTTTGATATCAAGTTAGATTCTCGTTTTTTGGAAACATATATTTTATTAGAATTTATTTATTTATTTTTTTTTTATTTTATATAATAAAATCATCTGATTAGTTTTGACCAATCAGATTTTTTCTTAATTGTTAGCTCTAAATTTCTATTTAAACCCGATATCTATTTTTTTTTAAACATTAAAAAAAAATTTAAGGTGAAAGAGATCCCAACTGTATTTTGTTTAGAAATTCGTTTTCTTCACTTTATACTAACTCTTATTTTCCACCCTGGTAATTAATTACCCTTGTATAATTTGACTTCTGTTGAATGACTGCAAGGATATCAATTCTTACATATTATTCAACATTAGGTTATTATGCTGTTCGTGTTGATCGTGAACCAGAAATTTATATATCATAGGAAAAATGTAAACAACAGATTCACGAATATCCTGGTGCTTTGTATAAAAAATTTAATACAAAACAGCAGGCTGAAGATTTTATAAAACAAATAGA